CCTGCGCCTACAGAGGGACCATGGATGGCTTGCGCTGCACCACCCACAGCTCCAACCACACACCCCATATCCAGTGTAAACCCGAAGGAATAAGACCGGGAGGCATGCGGATGGGAACCACGTTTCATCAACGGAGCCGGCCCACACTCCTTCACAGGCAAACACAAGCACACTGTATTTGGGGAATCAAGCGCACACAAGGCGGTGGCTGGACCGTAGTCCGCTCCATACTGAGTGCATGGAACCACTCTTCGAGCCTAGCACGGCCACAAGGACCGTGCACCCCGTCCCCTCCAGCAACGACCAACTGTCTCCTGGAGCCAGTATGGACGAGGTAGTGGGTAATAGACAGGTAGGCACCTTGTCAACATGCACATCAAGCGCAGCCACACCAGGGATATCAAACAACAGCCAATCACTTGAGAGAGAGAGAAAGAAAAAGAGAAAAACTCGATTAATGCATAAGGAAACGGTGATATAAACCTTAAGTAAATAGCATACGTAATAAGTTGTTTACAAACAAATCCTAGCTAAGTGCACGAGGTCAGGAAATATAGTTCACGGAATGCCACGAACACAAAAATGTTATGGAAATCGAATACAATTGGCTGAAGCGATGTGTGCAAGTTAATGGAATAGAGTACAGGGAGATATTTATATGAGAAAGAAAAGCATTAAGGTAAAAACTGTAAACCCACCACCTGAAATAAAGAGACTTAGCATGCAAGCACGCGGTTAGTAAATCGAATTCAGCGTGCCTACAAACGCTGCGCCGGCTCGTCGTAATTCTCTGCAGGACCCGTCGTCGCTTCTGTAGTGGCCCCAAAGGACCTAGCTCATGGCCCACTAGACATTTATATGAGAAAGAAAGGCATTAGGAGAGAACCGAAAACCCACCACCTGAAATAAAGAGACTTAGCATGCAAGCACGCGGTTAGTAAATCGAATTCAGCGTGCCTACAAACGCTGCGCCGGTGCTGCCTACGTTCACTGCGGGACCCGTCGGCGCTTCGGCAGTGGTCCCGAGTGACCTCTCTCATGGCTCACTAGGCCTGCCTGACTAAGGCACTCGCGACCGCATGTTCTACAGCACAATGCGCTCGATGTCGATGGAGTACAATTCATCGGTGCTTGCCGCTTCCGCACTTGCCGCTTCTTCTCTGCATGCATGAGGGCTTTCTCCCGCACTTCAGCAACTGCCTTCGTGATTAGATCGCGCCATGCACCACGATCAACCGCCTTCGATTCCCATGATCTGCAATCAAGATTAGAACGTGTGAGGCTCACTTTAATCATGTCCTGGTAACGTAACTTGGGTTTCCCAGCATGCCGCTTCCCTATACTCAGCTGACCGTATAAAAGTTGTTTCGGTATTCGCGTCGAATCCATACGGCTCACATGACCGAGCCATCTCAGGTGTCGCAGTAAAAGTATGCCGTCCACTGCATACATCCCACTTCGGCGCAACACTTCCGTGTCTGCAACTCTGGCGCCCCAGCCGATCCGCAAAATTCGTCGCACACACTGCTGATGGAACCGCTCGAGATATCGCACATCCCGACGGTACATCGTCCACGTTTCACTGCCGTATAGAAGAACGGACAGTACCATGGATTTGTACACCATCAGCTTCGTGCCAATGCTAAGCTGATGGTTGTTCCACACTCGGTACTCAAGCTTCCCGAATGCCGCTGCCGCCTTCGACACGCGATTACGCAACTCAACGTGTAGCTGCTGATCAGTCGACAGCACACTCCCAAGGTAGCAGAAGCGGGAGGTGGTTTCCAATACTTCAGCACCAATGCTGATTTGCGGCAATATTGAAGATTGCACCTCCGGTGAAGGCTGAAAGAGACAGACAGTTTTGCTTGTGTTGATGGTGAGCCCGAATTTGGCCGCTGTCGAAGCCAGAGCACTAGTCATGTGCTGCAACTCATCCGCGCTGTGTGAAAACAACGCACAGTCGTCAGCAAACAGCAACATACGGATAGTTGTCTCACAGACTAGAGTTCTCGCACCGAAACGACGGATGTTCAGCAACCCACCATCAATACGGTGCTCCACACGAACACCGTAAGCACAAGCCGCATCAAAAGCACAAGACAACATTGCATGAAGATAGATATTAAACAGGGCAGGAGCTAACACACAGCCTTGCTTCACACCAGAGACAACTGTAAAGTCATCAGAGGTCTCTCCACTCAGCTGCACCCTCGCTCGCATACCACTGTGCAGACATTCAATTAAACTTACAAACTTACGCGGGCAACCAAACTTACCCAACACCAGCCACAGTGCCTCGCGGTTCACCGTATCAAATGCCTTGGTGAAATCAACAAAAAGCGAGTACAATGGCTGGTGTCGTTCTCTGCACTTCTCTTGCAACTGACGAGCCGCAAACACCATATCTATAGTGCTGCGACCCGAACGGAATCCACATTGCTCTTCCGCCACGTTTGGTTCCACAATCTGACTCACGAGGCGATTGAGCAGGATTCGGGCAATCACCTTGCCCACACAACTCAGCAAGTTGATGCCACGATAATTCGTGCAACATTGCTTGCTACCTTTGCCCTTGTACAGTGGTAGCACAAGGGCATCCTTCAGCTCAGAAGGCACCTCCTCCTCAATCCACACGCGTTGCACCAAGTGGTGCAGCGCAGTCAACAACGCGGGTCCACCGTGTTTCAATACTTCAGGTGGGATCCCGTCACCTCCGGCACATTTGCCGTTTCGCAGCTGAGCAAGTGCTCTCTGCGTCTCATCCAGTCTCGGCGTATCTGCCAGATCCGCCTTCACATCGTGCTGCTTCAGGCCATTCAATGTAGGCCAGTCGATCTCTGAACGGTTGTTCAAGAGACAGTCAAAGTGTTTCCGCCAGACCTGCATTATGTCTGCAGTCTGGGTGCAGGTAGCGCCTGAACTACCATCGATCAGTGTCCTCAGCGGCTCCAATCTCGGTCCATACACCGCCTTCAAGGAGTCAAAGAATTCCTTGTGTTGACGGCGTTCGGCGTAGCATTCCATCTGCTTCGCCTTCTCCGTCCACCATGCATTTTTAATGCGACGGAGCTCTCGGGTCAGTCGCCGTCGAAGTTTGCGAAACTGACTACTCTTTTTTTTGGTCGTGGTTTACTGAGTACATAAACCGGAGAACACATTGGAGGACATGCCAGTCCATTTGGTGTGTGAGGAGTATTAGGTTATTTTGGGGTTTGTAGCTGAGGGTGCGGGTCCCCGGGGTTGGTGGAAAGTAAATAGGCTGCAATAGAACACCTGATTGAGCCCCCCCCCCCCACGGCATGTTTATCATAGAGGACTCGTCCGCGTGGGGGGCCTGGGGGTACTTCTTTTTGAGTGTTGTGAGAATAATCTATCATGTGCAGTAGCTTTAAGCGTCTGATAGCGTTTACAGCTGGGTGTTGAGACGTAGTGTATGTGGTGTGTGAGTCGGGTGTGGGGCTAGGCGATCTCTCGTGTGAGGTGGGTATGTCGGCATCATATGGGGTTGCCCGGGGGTGTGGGTTCGTTTATTGTTTAGGGATGTACAAATTGTCGGTTGTCGAATTTAGGTCGTTGTCCTCAAGTCTTAGTAGTGTTGTTTGGTGGAGTTAGCCGTGGGTCCCCCCCCCCCCCCCCCCCCCCCCCCCCCCCCCCCCCCCCCCCCCCCCCCCCCCCCCCCCCCCCGGGCCTGTGATTTAGGTGACACCACTAGCCCCCCCCCCCCCCCCCCGCCATAAAGGCCGCTATTTTGAGAACTAATACTGGGCACAAGCTCGCGGCGCTGTATTAGGGTGGTTTGTCAGTGTATTGTCGCAGCTTATGTAGGAGTAATGTTCTGATATTTTGGCCTCACCGAGGGGCCAAGAAATAGAAGTGGCTGGGTGTGGTGGTTGTATATGCCCCCCCCCCCGCACTGATGTTTGTTTGTTCAATGCGAATCGAGTTATCTCGAACCAAATCGAATACTTGTTGAGCATGCATGGTTTTCGGGTTGAGATCCTCCAAAAAACCAAAAAACCCCCTTCCCCCCCTAATGAAGCTGTGCTTGTTAGGTTGGGTTTTGGTTGTTCCAGGTGTTTTCAGTGGCTTTTGGGGGTTTTTGGGTGACGTTTTGAGAGACTTTAGCCGGCGTGTGGGTTGGCGGACACCCGGCGCTCGAAGTGTGGACTCTCAAACCTCTAGTAGCGGTGGTGGCGCATAACGCCCCCCCCCCCCCCCCCCCCCGCTTACCTCGAGGCAACTATTGGCAACCTGTACTCAATCCCCCGCTCCACCGGAGTGGCCAAACACTTGGTCGATTGAGGCGCATATATCAGATCATTTGGCGCCATACCCCCCCGTCACGAGCGAACGTGAGTTGTGTCTGGGTTACCTTGTACTGCGCATATTGCGAGCGGGGGATCGGCTCTCCCAGATCCGACGGGCATAGACACTCACGCCTCATTGGTGGGAGGATGGCTGTGGAGGGTGTGTGTCAGGGATCTTGCGGTCCCGGAGTAGCTCTCCACACAATTGGGGGTGATGGGTTCCTCGCAATGCCCCCCCCCCCCCCCCCCCCCCCCCCCCCCCCCCCCCCCCCCCCCCCCCCCCCCCCCCCCCCACGGGGCCATGTAGTTTGGTGCCTGTTACAGGGTGGGTGTTGTTGCTCTGCTTATCGAAGGGAGTTTTCGTGCGTGTCTCATAATGTTCGGTTTGATTAGACTATAAGACTTGAACACCACGCACATGTTGAGTGCAGTTGGTCAGCAACGGAACCAGACAAAATGGAGTCGAGCGCGCGATAATGCGCGTTGGCTGATTGACCCGCACCTGCAGAAGAGTGACGGCGCCCACCGGTCTCGCACCAGCTATGGAGGCATATCGGTCATATCGTGTTCATTTAACGCTAGAGAGGATTTGACCAAAACTGTCGCTCTACTTGGAGCAGGATCATTGACTCCGATCACGCTATCTTGTGTGCCGAACTTCGGTCCCATTACGGTGGACGTCCGCAACGTCAATAGCAATGCATTGCCA